GAAGCGGAATTTTCCGGGTTTTTATGATAATGAGACAGTGACGTCTGCCTAGTATTACTCGTGAGTGTGCTTCAGACTGGCAGAGAGTGAGAGAAGCCTGGAGGAACTGAATGAGGAATGAGTCAGAGTGAGGTGGGAGGGGAAAGTATAAGGGGATCATGTGACGGGGGGGGGGGGGGGGGGGGGGGGGGGGGGGGGGGGGTGATGAGTCATATCTCATTCCTTTACCTACTGAATCAGCCTCCTCTGACACACCTTGATTGGGGTGCAGTGCTACTCTGACTCACCTGCTGCAGAGCTTTCCGGAAGCGAACAGGGAGGGGAGTCTGCTGCTAAACAGAATTCACAGGAAGCCAAAAAATAAACTTGTCCCAACTACATTCAGAGCCCTCGCTAGGAGCCTTAAACCCGATTATCACATCCTGCCACTGCGCTGAGCCTTTTGAATACTCATCCTCCCTCCCAGATTGTTGCCTTTCCACAAGAGTGACGCCACGTAGAATTTCATTGTATGTTTGTACAATGAGAGTAAAGGTGTCTTATGTCTTACACAACGTGCCTGGCCAAGCCCGTTTCCCACAATGCACCACATACATGTGTTACGATCAGGAGGCATGGGTATCCATGACAACGCAGGGTAGGAGCTATGTGGCCAGAGGGTGCAGTGTCAGGCCGCCTGGAGGACAGGAAGTGGCTGCTTTGTTGCTGGGATATAACGCAGACATAAAAAGAACGCGCCTGGTTCGGCAAGCCAGCACTGCCTCCCTCTGCCACCTTACACGGCGTGTTATTTCAGGGCGCAGGAGTGCAGTGATTATACTCAAAGCCCAGGTTCGGCTTCTCATTTTCACAGGACCCCACGGCCCAGCTGGCGGGGTCAGAGGACGTGACTGTGGCAACTGGCGAATCAGCACACAGATGCCACTCCACAGACAAACCGGACGTGGGCGGCCATGTTGACATCTTATCAACGCGACTCTCTTACAGCAAGGGCCACAGCTGTTAAGGACGTACTCTAGGCGTGTTTAAGAAAAGAACTCAGGGTCAGCACAGGGCAGCACAGGGCAACACAGGGCACAAGGCGGCAGACAACCCAGACAGGACTGCAGGCCGGAAGGCTTACATCTGATATCCTGCTATTCTTGTTGAGCATTTGGCACCGTATTCTGGGGGCCACCTGGTGGACACATGGCAGTCAGAGCTCAGCACAAATAAGGTTTTGGGGTGATGTAGGGAAAAAATATTGAGGCAATCTATTAAACATAACAAGAAGGGCAGGTGATTAGGGGGATTTCTGGCAGCCCAAATGTAAATTTGTTCTCTAAATCTTGCACGTAGCAGCAACTCAGATTACAGGGTGCCAGTGGGGGGGGTGGGGGGGGGGGGGGGGCGATCCCTCAACCTCCATGAATATCTGCGTACCCAGGAGTCACCAGGGGCACCAAAAGCGGGATCTCTGACCAAGTCACACCCAATCAGGACACTACTGTGCTACTGTTTGGGAGTAAGCACACGTTACCGGCTCTAACTGTGGCTCTGCGTTGAGCCCTCAGGGACACGTTCTTCATCAAGTTCCTCATCTACCTCATTTCATTGATAAACGCTTTCTAGTGAACTTTGGGATTTCACATGAATGCGTGTGATGGCTGACTCTATGCGTCTGTCACCCACTCAGCTATTAACCTCATGAACTTCAAGGGCACACTGATTACCAACCCCCCCAAAATGATAGGGGTGGGGGTCCCCACACATGCCATCCAGGATGAAGTGTCCTGAGATGTTGCACCCCTGCTTGGCTGCTTGGGTGGGACACGGTGACTGTATGCTCTGGTGTATGATTTCGATGGCCACTAGTTTTTTGGAAACATTCAGCTTGCTGACAGGCTGGGGGGGGGAGGTGTTAGACTGACCGATTTAACATTTGTGTTTGTTTTTAGCAGCGTCCCCCGACCCCCCATACCGCCCGTTTTAGGCCATTGGTGGGGAGGGTGGGTGGACCAAAAGCCAACAAATACTCTATTCTGAAAGCCGTGAGCACAGAGCGCACCACACCTGCCCCACTGCCCCTTCCTGCCTGCCTCCATGTCGGGCTAGACCACAAGTTGGCAGGACACAGCAAACAGGCCACTCGTCAACATAGCCAAATGGTCGCCATGGCGATCAGAAATAAACAAAAAAGGAGAGTCACGTGACTTTTGGTACAAACGTGAGGCTCACTTAAAAACTAAATATACATTAATGCTGGGAGATATAAATATAGACGCAGATAAGGTTACCCGGGTGCTAAGTCTTCGTTGAAACTGTAGGCATTGTCTAGATGGAACAAACTCCTATAGGAACGTGCCCTGCAATACGAGCCCCCCCACCACCACTGTAACCCCGTAACTTTACCCCTGTCGCATGCCAGCTGTGTGTATTGCAGCTTGTGCATTATTCAGGGCGTATTTTACACAGGCTGCAGAAACTGCATGGGGGGGGGGGGTCAGCATCGACAATGTAGGAAACAGCTCCGGCATAGCTGCCCAACAGACCAATAAAACTAAGATTTGATAACATCATGCAGTCATTAAGTATTCATTGATAAAGGTTTGACAGACAGTACGCACTTTCAGTAAGTGGTCAATGGACTGGAATTTTTGAATTTATTCAGAAAACCCGACGAACTACATGCTCACTAGATCCTACCCTCTGAACTACTTAGACTCACTGTAGTTACTCACGAGACCCATTAACACCTCCCCAGCCTCAGGTAAGGACCCATGTCAATTTAAAGTGGCTTTTCCTTAAAAAGCCAAATTTTTTTTCTCACATTCTTAACAATTCCAAACTTGTCACCGATGTTCTCGTCCTCTCAAAAATCCTTGAGAGAATAGTAGCCACCCAACTGCCAACAGAAGCTGCCATTTAAGGACCGAGGTGGTGAGTGACTAATATCGGTCTCTGAACGTCGATAAAACAGGAGTCCTACTGATGGGTGGTAATACCCCCACCTGAACTGACAGCTTGTGTTTCAGTTTCACCGAATTAGACGGTGACCATGGTGTACTTTACAATGCAGTCCTGACGGTCGATTCTCATGTTGCCTTATTGTCTAGGACAGCGGTCACTAACAGGCGGACCGCGGTCCGGGTCCGGACCCAGAAGCTGTACCACACGGACCCGGACCGACAGCCAAAACATTTAGTTATTATTTAAAACCAGACGGGGCGCTTTTATTTCAACCGGCGCAGCGTTTGTAGTCTTTTCGGTAGTCGTTTATAGTAGAACCGCCGTTTCCCACGCCAATGAACGTCAAACGCCTTTGACCGCCAAGCAAGACATATATTTCGGCGTATGCAGCCCTTTGTCTGCGCTATTGTGCCTTTCGTGTTAATAGCAGCAGCAAAGCCAACACCCGCAAACAAAAAGCGTAATGTTCGTAACAGAGTGGCTGCGTTCTCCTGAAATCGTAAAGCTGAAAAGCTTTCAAATACAATATGTATCATATAACACGTTGAATAAATAGACGTAGTTTATTGTTGATTTCATGTTCGTTGAAGTTTCTGTATTTTAACATATGTATAAAGTAATGTTATCTGTTATATAAATAAACTCATGCGAAACAAAAAATGTACGTTTTCAGGGTTGCTTTGAGACTCATGCTGGAAATCTTACGGCAAATCTATATTACTTCATTATAAAACCTAAAATTAGCTACGTCAAAAGTGTATATACAAGGTTAAATACAAAAGCAGACTATTTACAAGGTAAGAACTGTTACATGTGTGCAGACATCTCGAATTGAAAATCTCACTCCAGCCAGCTGCCCGAAGTTCTATGTCACGTGACAATAAATAATGTCAAAACGTTTTTGAATTGTACTGAATTAATTTGATTTAACAGTCAGGTACTGATTACATACAATGTTGATGCAACTAATAGGCTACTGAAATATATATCACACTATTAAATAGTTAGACATTATAATCTTCCGGACCTTTGCTTCAAGAATTTTTCTCTAACTGGACCTCTTTAAATTTTAGTTGAATACCCCTGGTCTAGGATATACTTCTTAGCTTAGGGACATAACTAAACTGAAGTGCTTTCTAACCTTTGATGATATAGAAAGATGAATACATGAGTTTATATAACAAACCAGACTACTGCCATGCGAACACCAACCACACACTTTCTCCCCTGCAGCAGTTTCAAAATGTAGCCTTAAAAGAAGTAAATATGACAGTATTACTGATATCCTGATGTCTCTCCACTGGTGTCCTGTTCAGCACAGGACGGCAAAATTCCTACGGGGGTGCAACTCCTGCTTATCTAACCCATCTGACCAAAGCGTGTGATCCAGAACGTTCACTGAGATCACAGAATACAGGCCTTCTTGTAGTTTCTCACATAAATAAAAAGACTGTTGGCGACAGCTTTAAGTCACAGGGCCCCTGGCTTAGTGAACAGTCTGCTAGCATATGTGAGGGAGGCCCCATCAGTCTCACTATTCAGACTGAAGCCACATTACTGTAGCCTAGCCTGCCACGCATAAGGCTGCTGGTGTTACTGCACATACAGCGATTTTCTCTTGGCTTTTGTGGGTCTGCAGAGGGTTTTACAATGAGCTGACCCACAGAAAGTGTGACAGAAGGTAGCACAACACACACACCTTCCCGCTCTGATTATTGCTGGCATGGCTTGGGGGGGGGGGGGATTGGGCAGCCAGATAACCTTAGACCCCTAAGGGATTTTCAAGTTTTGTTCCCTCTCTTCTTTTATTTCATGGCTTTTATTAAATATGCATTTATATCCTAAACTGTTGTAAGCCAAAAAAAACTGTATCGAAGTTGTTGATGGTTGAAAATAATTGGGTTGAAGGGAAATGAAATGGGATTGAAATACGATTCGGTAGTAGCGCGTATAAAGGCGATTCTCAAAGGCCCCGCAAGGGGGCGCAGCGCAACGTGACCGGGGGGTGGGGGTTAAAGCGGAAGAGCTACATTAAATAATGACCACGGTTATCCGCCTACGCCTGTGTTTAATCTCACAAGATTTATATCGGTAAATACACATTAGTTTCTCACTGTACAAAATCATTATATTCTGGAGCACAGTTCAGCTTGCGGGGTACCTCCCACTATAATGATTAAATATTTATTATGCCGAGCAGACTGCTGTCAGTCACTCGCACAAGAAGACTGAGCACGTAATTAATCGCGAGTAGGAGCCTCGGCCTGTATTGAGTGTCTTGCTGTCGTGAAGCTGGCGTACATCCCTGCAAATAAAACCGGACGCGATCGCGCGAAATAATGGGCGCATCGGCTGTTCGCTAAACAGTTCCGTGTGCTTTTGTTTACAGCCTCTAAACAGGCACAGTTTGTTTGAATGCATTCCTCAGTGGAGATCAGTTAGAAAAAGCGGCCCCCAGCAATCTCCATGGCACGGCTGCGGTGACGGGCCTTGGGAGGGGGGTTCAGGGAGGTTAGAGAGACGCCGCTCCTGTTAAAAGAAAGCTAGATAGGCATCCCCCCTGCAAAAAAAAAGCGCAGTGAGCGATCTCTGTCACCAAATCCGCAACCACATATAGCAGCAAGTTACATGCGAATTTCCGTATTACATACCAACCCTCACTTCCCGTGCTAAAGCGCCTGAGATTGAGGGCTGTCTTTCGTCAGGCAGGATACTATAGCATAATGTTACATTAAAACAAAAGCATAGAAACGGGAAGAGACCGGTTATGGTCACAAACCTCCACAGAGCAATTAAAAATAATTTACTGAGAACGGAAGCAGTTTGGCAGCAGGTGACAGACGGCAGCCTCCACTTCAAAGGCAGAAGGGCGGCCATTTTCTTTGCACACAGCTCCTGTACCGGACTTACAGTGAGTGAATGCCAGCCTTGTGTGCCTCCCTGCGGTCTGCCAAAGAGAATATCCTCTGTGCCCCACCCCCAGCCCTTTGAGCATGTGACAGTGAAAGCCGCCTACACATTTTCCATCTGCTAGATTGTCTGGACCCCTCTATCCTTTTGCATACAGCTGCCTCTTGCATATGTCTTGCACACAATGAGCAGAGGGTACAGGCAGCCTGTCCCTCAGCCCAGACACTGTGTGCATCTGCAGTCTGGGCCAGAGCAACATTCAGACATCACCCCTTCTGTAGACACTAGAAAGCACGGGGGGGGGGGGGGGGGGGGGGGGGGGTGTTTCAGGGAGCCTGTTGCAGTGTTGCTAAACCTTAGCGCCCTGACTGACTACAGAACTGGGAAGCAGAGAACATAAAAGAGCACAGGTATCCATGGCAGTAGGAAGCGATAGTGAGACTATGATTGTGTGAATGTTAGATACTGGTACACAAATCACCACTGAATGGAAATAATTGTGCATTGCTCCGCACCTTCCTTCACGTTTTGTATGGCTGTGATCTGCAGCTCTGCACTGTGATTATGGGAGACTCACCTGTAGCAGTTGGCCGGGAACTGAATGTCTTAAAACCGGAATGGCTGCAGTTCCTTTGTGTATGGGGTCCAAACACAGCAGTAGCCCCCGCCTGTGCCGTTAAAGCCAGACAGACAGCTTGACCTTTACACACCACCCACCCCCGGCCTTTCTGAGCCATTGTGCTGCTGGGTCACACGTCCCCCCTACAAAGGGGCGGCCACTTCGGCTGCAAGCAGAGCAGATCTGCGGTAAGGCTCCTTTTGATTCCATACACAGCTATTCATCCAGCCTCGTGTGGCACGTCAGAGGCGGCTCTCCAGCGGAGCATCAGACCCAGGGCGCGGCGATGGGGGAGGGGCAGACCCGTCACAAGCACAGTTCAATTAGAAACCCCTCTCTCGAGAACTTATACAGGAAACTCTTAAGCTGAAGCTATGAGGAGACAGTGCAGTTGAATGAGGATTTATAGGGTGAGTGCAGACACCCAGATCTGAGGTGTGACCACAGGTTTCTAATCAGGAGAATAACTGAATTCCGAGAGCAGCAGCCAGACGTCCATCCATAGTCCCACCACCCCCCCAGTACAATTTGGTCAATTAATCCATTTTCCACAAGTGCAATTTGAAGCCATTTTAATATTTACAGATATAAATTTTGAAGTTTTTTTATAAACACCACCACAAGCACCTACAACTAACCCCCACAACAAAATTTCACAGGAACTGCTTTGAGAACAGCAAGAGCTCTGCATCATTGTCACAGACTGTCCCTTTCGCCTTGACGGAACCCAACCAATGGGAGGCCGCTCGTTCAGATTTAATTGGCCTACCAGTCATAAAGCTCCCGTGTTGACAGGATAAATGGCGCAGTTTTAACTGCTTAGGCTGGCAATCAAACAGGTGTAATGTTTAACCAGCCACCACAGACGCAAACAAAGTTGGCAACAAAAAATGGCCGCTTACACATACAGGCCAGGTTGGCTGATATTTTTCCTTTATCAAAATTAGAGACTGGGACAGTGGTTCTGACAAGTCATTTTTAATTTATTCTGACATGCTAAAAGGGAATAAATTACACTTTTATAGGATGTCCAGCAGTAAAATACTTTAAGCTGGGTCAGAAGGGAGAGGAGGGATCAATGGAGTCATCTAACAAGTTACTGGTGTGCATCTCCTGTGGCCAAAGGCTGAAAAATTAATTCAAAATAACCTTGCTTCTTCTTTACAAGACTTAAAAGCATATAGAAAAGAACCCTCCAAACCTTAATAATCAATAAAAAAAAAATGTAGGGGAAAAAGTCGCCACTCTAACCAGCAGCGATATTCTCAGCCTCAGAGAGGAAGCCTCAGAGTTTAAGGGTTATAATCTCGGCTTCCTACAGGAGGGAACAAAAGCCCCTTTGCCAAAAACGATCAATTTAAGAGGGAAGAGACAACTAGAGAGCAGAAAAAAAAGTCCTTACTGATAAAAATGTATTTGTGAATGTATACAAAAAAAAGAAAAGAAAAAAAAGAAAAAGGAAAAGGGCGGTCTGCTTGCGCGCCAAATGAACATGAAGGCCATCGCAGCCTGACTGACTAACAGGTGAGTTTTTCCCCATTTTCACGCTGACGTTTCCAAAGAGGGAGTACAAACCGAGATTGCAGTGGCATACATTTATATCTAAGCAATTTACATAGAGGTTTTAGTCAAGTGATGCCTAATCTGTAATGAATACGCTCTGTGGTGTTTATACGCTTTAGCCTTCAGTATACCAAGAACAAGAGTAAATGCAGCGCTCTAAATGGAAACCTAGTAGTCACTAGAATTTTTTTTTTTTTTTTTTTTTTTTTTTAATTTTCACATACGAAGCTCCTCTAGCACGTCAGCAGGCAGAGTCTCGATGACTTTATGAACCAAGAAACCCAATGTTTGCTTAGTGATATCCAGGATACACCGATTCATTCATTCATTCATGACAAAGACAAAAGTCCTAGTTTTACATCTTTTCATCGCGCATTCTCGAGAAGGTGGAAGAGGGCCAGACGGGGCAGAAAACATGCCGGATGCGTGCGCGTCCGACGGCGAGAAGCGCCCCCTTCGGAGCAGGCCCAGTCAGGATTGGGGGAGGGGGGTGGGGTGGGGGACCCAAGCAGCCTTTTTCTGAAGGAGACGGCTCAGGGTAACATTGGCATGTGCACAGTTACATCCTCTGTGAGCAAACCATTTTAGACACTTCAGTTTGGAAAGGATAAAAGGGTCTCCAGGAACAGGACGATAGAAAAGGCTACAGCTTCCAAGCTTCATAACTAAGCCGCTTTCTATGTGTATATAGTATATACAAACCAATATATAGATAGATGCTTGTGCATGTTATCTATATATAGCGATTACATATATAGTATACAGAACAGAAGTTCTTTAACAGGACGGGGGAAGGGAAATGGTTGCCCACATGGCCTGGCGGGTTCTGGTGAACTGATCCGAGATCCGGGGTGTGATCGGAACGCAGGTCCTTCTTTGACCCTTCTCATTCAACTTCATTGTCTTAATGCTTAGAAACCTGCGGGAGACAGCAGGGGGGAGGGGGGGGACTGGGGTTAAGACACAGAATCAGATCACAGGCAAAAGCGTGGAGCGAGCAGGGTGGGGGGCGCAGCTCAAACACCACAGCCAGAGGAGAAAGGAAGGAGGAGCCGGCCGCGTCTGCGAGGACTGGAGGCCAGAGTCCACAGGCGTGACGGAAGCGCAGGCGCCGCACAGGCGCGAGGGGCTCCGCTGAAGGTTACGTGTATAAAAGCCCCAAAGGGGGGGACACGAAACAGCCAGAAGAGGATGTTAGATGTTTCACTCTTAAGCAGAGGAACATGGGGGTCAGGTATTTCCCGTTCAGGAGTTACAGGTAAAAGGGAAGGTTTAAAGCTGTCACTCCAAACTTCTAAAGCTGGACAGAGATCCTATGAGAAACTTTGTTTAATAAAATAAAAAAAAAAGGAAATTGGAAAAAAAAAAAAATCTGCTTACTGCCATTTTATAGTAGCAAATCCCAATGACTGGTTAATGCACAAGTCACACTGTCCCGTAAGGATACAACGCCATGCCAGGCAAAGAGAGGGCATCAGACCTGGCTCATTCATCCTGTACATCTGCTGGCAGCAGATATCCAAAGGGGAAGCCCCGCCTCCTCCAAGCAGTCGGCTAAGGTTCACTCCCACTTCAATACCAGGACAGTTAACCAGAGTCTGATTTAGGACACGCTGCATTTTCTTTGGGTAAGATTCCTACACAGAACAAGATCATAGCTATGACCATTTCAGAGCACGAAACATGCTGAACAAGAGAGGTCTGTGAAATACCTCTACAGCCTAGCTGGTGATTACGGGCGGGGGGAGATAAAATCCCCACCTTCATAATCACAGGCACCGTCCCACCCAAACCTACACCAGTTTGTGTGGGCACTCCCCCCTGCGTGTCTAAACCAGCAAGAAGCAGGGCGACCGAGGATTAAATAACCCTCCTTGCAAGGTCTGTAAAAACCGGTCACTGGTTCCAGCTTCAGTTGGAAAAGGACACCAGCATAACCAGTCTGAACAAGAGATATGAGAAGTGCATAACGACACAGCAGCTACACATTCCTGCAGGCGCCGTGTGGCTTGGGACGCTCTGATCCCCAGAGTCGGCACAGCGATGATGTCGCTGTTGGGCCCATGAGCAAGGCCCTTAACACCCAACTGCTCCAGGGACAGTCCAACTCTGCCTTCTCAAAAATTCACCGCTTTGAACAAAAGCACCAGCTAAATAAAACGTAAGGAAAGTGTGCACTCACGTACACCATGGACCTCAGGCAAACAGTTCTGGGTTTTTGGAAGTGTTACCTGTGAAGTGGCACAGCACTGAAACTGCCCTCTCAAACGTTTGCTTTTGACAGGCTGCCATTGTGAATTCACACCGGAGGCCTGGAAACAAACAGGGCACTAACAATGGTGGCATTGTTTAGCCAAGCTACTAAGCGGATCAGCTAAGATCGTGTCCAAATAAACAGCACTCCCCCTCCAAAAGGGGGCGCCTTCAACGTCCTGCCAGCGCTGTCCAGCAGGCACCCAACCCTCCCTCACAAGAGGAGAGGTGTTAAAAAGGTCAGAAACACACTTCAAAAGCAGCAGCCAAACAAGGAAACACTTGGCTAATCTTTGTGTGTTTGTATGGGCTATGCAGTACAGCTCTCTCTGGCTCATGCTAACCGCAGGTATGGGACACTAACCAAGAGCAGAACACAAGGGGTCGGCCCAGTATCACGGCATCAGCAAACCCCACTAGACCCTCACCTCTCCACAGACGTGGAGAGCTGCAGACCGGCGTCTGAGAAGTGGGGTACCATCGAGCAGCTGCAGCCAGAAGTGGCCAAGGGGTCTCAGGTGGCAACGACGTGAATCAGCCGCTAACTGCATTCACGTTACATGACAGGCTTGAAACGTGCTTGGAGAATGCTAAATAATCAGACAAGCCTTGTACGCTAGTAGCTTAGCGTAAGGCAGAATTGCTTGTGAGAGCCGAGTTAACTTAGTCAGTCCCCTTGCATCCCGAGGCACTGGCTCCTCGAACCAGCCTGAATTCACACTGAGCACGAGAGGACAGAGGTCTAAAGACCAGCCTGGTGAAGGCAGACTAGAAGCAGGCATCTGTCAGGCCTGATCTCCACACTGGGACATCAGA